CTACGATTTACTGAATTTAGTTTCATCTTTATCTCTGCTAGATAATGTTTTCCTAAATACTATTTTTAGAAGTGAATTATTTAGAATATTCATAATCTTCTCTCGTTTTTGTTTTTGTTCTTTCTTCGAGAAAATTAGTATATCGTAACGTATAGATGTATTGGCAACGATTAATCAAAAATGTAGTGTTTCACAGCTGTTCAGAATATTTATAGCGATGGTAGTTAAGTAAGAAACATATTTACAAGAGGCACGAGATAATTATACTTTTATGTTTTCTCTTATCTCTGTTAGGTGAGCTTATCAGGCTCGTGCACCATTGTAGCACCAGTTGTGCTGTGTATAGGGTAATTCTTGCAATCAGAACAGACTGTATCTTTCCACAGGAAAATTAGGAAAATAATAATAGACATGCTTTCATATACGGTCTAATATAATAAAATGTTGTTTCATATCGACTTCTTTGTCGCAACGATTCACGTATGCATCTATATGCAAATTACCCCATACGTGCAAGTATACGAGATAAACAAAGAAGACGATGCACCTCGTTTTTTAAACGAGTAGAACGAAATTTATTAAATGTACGTTCGATGCAACTTCTCTTCATTTCCCCTGAATGTATAAACATGCAAATGGAATGGCTCGGATGCATCGTTTCTTCATAAACTGTAGCTGAAAAGTTGAGGAAATTTTTCTACGAGAGAAGTATAGCGGCGAGCAGCGATACTGAAACTGGCGTGTGCACGAAACGAGCGCAGCGTGGCGATATCAGCGCGGGGTACGCGCGCAATCAGTCATCGTTTAATCTGCCGACACGGCGCGGTGCAACGTTCGCAGGTGGTCGTCGTGTTTCCCGATGATTTCCCGGTGCACCCTCCGCTCGAGGCCGCGGCTATTTCGCGCTGAAACCGACGGACTCGATCGAATTTACACGCGGATTATCCGACAGCTGACACAGAAACCGTCTCTGACGCTGCACGGATTCTTTCCCCGTTTGTTCTCTGTCCTCCCACCCCCCATCCCTCCTCATTCGTCGGGACGACCTTCTCTTTCACGGAGCACGCTCGAAACCTCGTTCCGATAGCGGCGAACACACAACCGGAGTCGGAGAGACAGCGGTGCCTCTTCTTTTTCTTTCACCGATGTGACCAGAATGCAGCCGGTTCGCCGCTTTAATCCAGCGTGTTTTGGCCATTCGACCGGCCACCGAAGGTGAACGTACTTATTAAGAACTCGCCGGATACCAAGGCGAACCGTTCGGCCTCTCTTCCAGCACCTTACCGACCGTTATCCAAACTTCTTACACGCGCGTTCGTACGCACCACGCCTTCCTTCGTGTGCGTTCCACGGCTCTGTCTGATTTAAATCTTCGACACGGCTGTTATTTCGTTTGCTCGGTCCTTTCCTTCTTTCTTTTCTTTTCTCGGTTTGTCTTCCCCCCACTCGTTGTTCCTTTTATCTTTTTATTCTTAGGAGAAGGAGAAACGATTTCGTATTTTTTTTCTTTTTTTTTTTTTTTTTTTTTTTTTTTTTTGTCGACGAATAAGAGGGTGTTCTTCGTTCTAATCTCTCTATTAGCATTCTCGATACATTTCTGCAAGTATAGTAATATTTTATGATACCGTTGTAATATTGTACTGCAGTGTAAATATTATATAATTATTAATATTATAATATTAGTAAACTTTAGTAAAAATGAAATTTCCGATATCATAATGTTGTGCAATTTACTACTAAAGTTTATTAGCATTATCATGAAATATTACTTGCTGCATTTGCTACTTGCCAATCGTAACTGCAAGTAAATACAAATAGCCTCTCTCTATTCCAAAACGAATATTATATTGCAGTATTTATAGTCCCAATATCGTGATACTACAAATATTATGTACATATATAATCATTATATCAATATTTCATAATATTGCAATGTTTTATTTATGGAAACACAGCGAAACCTTGCACATTCATATGTATATATCTTGTAATAATTAAGAATCCAAATTGGAAACATAGAAAACTAGGCATTTGAGTGTTGGAAGTTCAAAACTTCGAATTACAAGTAAAAGTTACACAGGTAATGATTTCAATTATCGTTGACGATTTTCAGTCCTTTTGTTCAATTTACCAAAAGTTCGTCGTTTTCTACCCAACCCAACAGTACGGACTTGAACTACTTGTAACTCGTAAGTTTTCCAATTGTCAGAGCTGCCTCGACAGAATTCGTTAAACGGCGAATCTCGGTCTTAAATTCTACGGGGAAATTACTCACAGGAATTCCAGGACGTTGCGTCACTCCGTTTCTTATTACAAAAGCTGCAATAATTTCTGAGGAAGGTGTCGAAGTAACCATGGCCTGCTAACGATCTCTATTTCTTCAATTTTTATTGATATTGTCATATCTCGTGCGACATCTCGGCTCATGTCCAACGTAGCCGAATTTCTCTTCAATTTTCATTACACAATGTTTCCAACACGATCGAGTCGTAATATAGTCAACTTATTAAATAAATTTAGGTTTGTCGATGATCAAGATTTGCAAAGAATTTTGTTGAAAATAGATTGGACGATGCTGTAATGTAAACTCGAACATTACAGAAATATACATGATACATCGAAACGAAGATGAAAATTGAACTTCACCATTTCCAATCACTCTTACATGCTAAAAACTATCAACTGCATATTTAAAAAGAAGAAAACGAACAAAGTCGTGAACGTACCTAACCTGTATATACACAATCGAGACTTAATTTTAATAAATACGTCTGCAATTGTAGCATCTCACGTCGTCATTGAAGGGGATTCTTATCTTTATACTTTGACGTTATTAAGAGAAACTCACCTTATCGATAATTCGTTCAATGCTTTCTTCGTTACGAAACTTTTTTTTTTATGCATTAAATAACGCATGTTCCGCTCGACAAGGCAGTGTGGATTACTTTTTACGTTAACCTTTTAACCCAATAATTTTCTCTTCAATCTTATTACATCGGATGTAAAATATTGAAATGTTACGTATGTGTAGACTACAGACTTTAACACATTTGTAAGAAATTTCACAGAATGAATACAACAAGAAAAAATGTACAAAATATTCAAAATATGTAGCTGTATGTGATATTTAAAACAATTCTACTGCATTTCTCTTTTCAATTACGTTGTCAAGAATATAAATTTAGGTGCAATTTGCATTTATTAATTTCCAATTTAAGTAACTGAGATTCAATTGAATCAAGAGTGAAATTTGTTTTTCCTCCCTTTCGAATTCAAACTATGATTCGTACGATATATGTATGTCGATACATATTACAAGATCAAGGGGATTGAAACGCTTCAATATCGGTGATAACATCAATCCCCGAGTCTTCGTGTCTCTGCCGCGAATTGTTACCAGCTTTTTCATTCTCGTTATCGCGGCGAGAGTGAAAGCGATCGAACGACAATTCGTGTAACGTAATCCTCAGGGTTTGTAATTTCGTTCGGGGAGTTTTGCCTTGACGCGAAAAGTCTGCTAACGAGAGGCGCTCACACACGTACATCAGTTCACGCAACACACATCCCTGTCAGGCCGTGTTCCAACTCGCACTGCTTTGAACGACGATCGTCCAACTATCGTCGACGAAGTTTGTTTCTAAATTGAATCAACGTAGTAGCTTTTTCATTCGCCGCGACACTGCGTAACACAGTGTAACGCAATTTACGCTCGAGGACGAAGTGGAGAACTCGGCCTCACGGATGCAAGTTGGAACGCGGTCTTGTTTATGTCAATTAATTGCAAGTAACACGAAAGTGATGTTCTTTTGAAACGCGCATTGGTCGTTCATATTGAACGAGCGTGCCTAGAGAAAGCCTTGCTCGTTTGCGTGGCCACCAGCCTGGAAATGTACTACTCGATTCCGTGGGGATCGTTTAGTTTCAGTCGTTACACCTGTTATGCTTCGAGTCATTTTCAAAGGTGAATTACAATTGCTCGATTCGTTGCCCTACAAATTGCCGTCAAATGCAAATAAATAGGAACGTCGCGTTCAATTTTTCATTGAATCAGTTGGCTCTGCCACGCGTGAGTTCGCGTTTCTTTCCCGACCATCTGGATTCTTGAGTGAATTCGTAAATAAACTGCGGGCTTTTACGTTTCTACGTTTACAGGAAAGAATGTACACAGTGGGAAAATAAAATAAAATGCCCAAGGAAGAATATTCAGTGCAGTGTATGTAGCAGATGAAAAAAAATTTCTATTCAGGTTCCACTTTTTCAGTCACGTTTCACAAAAATATAAAAATCCAGCTCTCTCGATGGAGGAACCCAAAAATCACTTTACATCGGTGGAAAACGAACATACGTCACGTGTGTCGTGAAATACACGATATTAACATTCGTGATATTAATTTGTAATATCAATACATGTCAATTTCTAATATTAACAATTACATTTTAATATATTTTATTTATTAAACTATATCAAAGTAGATACAAAGTGACTTGCGCGGGCGAGTCAAGATCGCGTCATTTTCAAACAGAATGAGTCCGATCGGTGATCCACGATCGATCATCGCGTGAAACGAAGACGTACTCGTCCAAGTGCGACGCTTGGACTCCTGGGTTCCAAAAGAACGAGGAAATCCAGCGTGGCAACGAACGCTATACAGGCCACCGTGAAACGCACAGGTACATTTGGTAGTGAACGAGTCCGTCGAGCATTTCGACCGATCGACGAGATCGAGAGGATCGAGAAGAAGTCGGTCGAGGCTTTGGAACACGGCCAGTCACAGTCACTTCCTGAACACACCACCGGATGTCTTGAGGAGCCACTCACCTGCAGCAGCTCTGTTACAAGCCTCCTTGGTCTCCTGCCTGTTGTTCATTATCGTCGACGTCGTCGTCGTTGTCGTCGTCGCCATCGAGATATTCTGTTGCACGCCTTTCTCGAGCACCTTCAAAACAACGTCTCGATCGCGACTGGCCGCGAGAGTCGCGCTCGTGTTCGTCATGGTACCAGCGCCAGCGCCGCTGTTCACCGGCCGTGCACCGTTCTTCATCACGTCGAGAACGTCTCCAGGTCGTTCCACGATTGGCAACCCTCGCCCCGAGTCCGCCATTGAGCCGCGCTGCTGTTCCTGGAGCAAGCAGGCGCTCGACAGCAGGTCCCATTGCCGTAGCTTCTCTCGGTCGAGCTCGAACGCTGCCGGCCCGGACACCTGCTGCGTCGTCTCCGAGACCGAGCGTACCGGGGGAAGGTTGCCTTCCTCTAAAAAATGATCCCTATCCTCGGCGGTGGCTTTTCGGTAAGCCTCGTTCTGCGCGTCCCACACGTAACCGCTCGCGTGAATCCGTTCCATCGAGAGGCTTTCGTAGGTCAGATCGTCGACCACCTCGTTCCTCTCCTGTTGTTCTTTGTTGGCTCGGCGTTTCACGCGAGGCCTGTCCGACGGATCCTCCGAACAGTTGTCCCGCCGTAGGATCACGCTATCGTTCACGTACGTGGCCCCGCGAGTGATCTTGTTCCGTCCCTTCGAATCTGAGTTCGGCACGATTGATCGTGGAGGGTTGTCCAAGTTGTCCAGGGATCTTGCGTTTCTCAGACTTACTCGTCGGAGACTTTCCCTCCACAGGGAGTCCTGTTCCCAGGGATCGTCCACGTGGAAGTTGCTCGACGTTGAACTGGCATCTGTGCCATCCACGCTCTGCGGTATTTCTTCCACCCGGCTCGGTTGAATCATCGCTACTCGATTGCTTCTGTTTCTCTGCTCTACTAGGTTCTGAAGACCGACGTCGTCCAGCAGACCCTCCAACGATCGGGATCTTCGATGGGACGTTTGGGTTCCAACCGCCAGTTCGAAGGCATCTCGTCCGTTCGATTTATCGCGAAGACCATGAGGATACAGATTTCTCGTATTGATCTCTACCGACGAGACATCAGGCAGGGGATCGGTGGATTTCACCCTTCTGAGGGTGTCCGCTTCGTAAAAGTTCTTCTTGTCCACTAGGCTTACTTTGTTGTCACTTAGTAGTTGACAAGTCGTCTTCCGCAGTTGAGCCGCTATTCGCATAGCCTGGTTTATGTCGTCCACCTGGATCTGTCTGGGGGGCATTTGCCTCGGGATAGGGTTCACTATACGCCCTATATCGTTCCTCTTGTTCAGCGCGGACGCGTCGTCTCTTTGATTGTTTAGCTGGGGCAATCTCGAGGTGTGGCCTATCGGCTTCGTCGACTCGACATCCACGGCGTTTATGCTGCCCTGAAGGTCGGAATAATAATAGGGTGCAGTCGACTGCTCGCTCTGAGGATGTGGTTCGCCAGGTAGATATGACTGAGGCGCGGGATTTGCCTTCACCGTGGACGTAGAGGTCGGGTAGTGGCTGGAATCCTGACTGGACGACGATCTGTGGTTCGATATCATCGAATACCTAGCGGAATCTTGACTGGCCGATCTCGAGTGACTGTGGAACCGTTGATCAGAGTAGGGACTCGCGTTCTGTAGCATGTTGCACGTGATTAAACTGTTCCCGTGATTTCCCAAAGACATCGAACCCGTCGGCGAGTGTATGGAGGACTGCGCACTAGCGGGTCTCTGGCAAGCCATGGAGGTTGAGATTGAAGCGGCTCCAGATGCCAAGGAGTAGCTGGAGTCCCTACTGTGAGACGCGGCGAGCAGATTGCTTTGAGAACCTCTCTGATACCTGTGCGAGTTGTCTCGCGACTGGTCGTTGTCCGATCGAATCGCCGGCGAGTTTCTCAGCGGAGAAAAGCTCGAGATGTTTTCGTAGTGAGCGTCGCCGGTGAAGGATTGTGAATGCTGGTGAGAAGGTGGAGCATCGCAGACTCTCATAGACGGCAAACTACTCGCTGATCCCATTTTGTTCACTGCACCACCGTTGTACCTCAGAGAATGGTCGAGGTTCTCGAAGCCTAAATTCGCCTGCCTTGACAGGTCGTGGCAGGTGGTCTTCTGAAGCTTGTCCACCACCATCATGTTCTCGTTGAATCCGTAAATGCTGTTGTAACTGAGATCTTTCGCGTACAAGTCAACGTTGAAGGCATCGCGAGCCTGCAGTTCCTCCAAGAATTGATCCAAATCGATACTAGCACCGTCGAACCGGCTCCCAAGGGACGCCAACTCGTCCAAACTATCGAGGACTTCGCACATCTCGCTGACTGGTCTGGTTTTCAGTTGTCTGTGCCTAGCTTCTTCCTCCGGTGTCCTCAACTCCACCGAGTCGCTTCCGGACGCGCTCTCCAGAGAGATTCGGCTGTCTCTGAAGGTGGAGCTGATGGTGGCATCCGAAAATCTCGATGGAGGCCTGTGGGTCTCGATCTGACTCATCGGCTTGTTCCACGATTTCGGCGAGTCTCTGCTCGAACTGTTGTCCTTCGTCACCGCTACTTGGGGAGAGACCTTCTTGATTTCCAACGACTCCTGCATGTCCAGGGAGTCCAGGTCGTCCAATGGAGGCGGAGAAGTTGGAATCGGAGGAGGAGACACCAACTCGCTGTCGGAGGAGTCGTGCAGTTCCGCGATCATGGTCCGACTAGCGCCCAAGTAGTAGGAAGCGGGTCTGAAAGTATCAGAGAGGCTGAACCTAGGGTGCCGTGGGGCGTCGATCGAATCGAGGTCCTTCGAAGACTCGTCGTCGGCGTCCGAACTGTCGGACTTCAACGCTGTCAGAATATCGGGAAGATCAGTTCTCGAGCGTGCCGAATCGTCGTGACTCCTCTTCTTCAGAGACACTTTTCCATCGTCTTGCTCCTCCTTTTCCGATAACTGGCTCACCTCCATGTACACCGGTTCCATTTTGTTATCCGAAACGCAGACAAACTCGTAGTGAGGCGTGTCCAAGGTGGAGTAATCCCCGGAATCGTGTTTGCCGGTCTCATCGGTGGGTGCCAAAAGAGAATGCGTCATGCCATTTTGAGCCATCTCCACGTACGAGCTTTCCTCGTGGTCCAAATTGGCGAACAGGCTCTCCATCATCTTTGGATTCGGTCTGTCGTCATTGGGATCCAGTATGGCTTTCCTGGGTGTCATAGGGAGGTAGTGCTCTTCGGGACAGATGATGTCCTCTTGCTTCACGGTGGGACTCGTGGTTCCACTTTCCCCCGAGAGGCGATCACCGTGAGTTAACAGAGATTCCGTGACGCTTAATCTGGCGCAACTAGGGTTCGACAGGATGTCTAGATCCTCCGTGGAGATTGTTTGATCATTCTCGCTCTCCTTAGAGAACGATCGTTTCTTACGCCTGAAGGAAACATCGCCCTTCCTCTTCGTCGTATCGGTGTACATCTTGCGATCGTCGATGGGCTCAGCTACAACTATGTCCACCTTCCTGATCCTCTCGTCTTCCGCGTCTTCGTTCCTGTCGCGCTGATCCAGATCACTACCCGTGTCGTATAACAACGCCTCCGAGTCGCTGAACACTCCGCGGTGTTTCGCCTCTTGGTGCCTGCCGTATTCCTGTCTTTGAACCTGCTGAGACTTCCTCTCGAAATCCGCCAGCAGATCCTTCACCGACTTGTTGCTGTCCGTGGACGCCTGTTTCGCGTGACCGTCTTTCACGTTCTTGCACTTGGAATCCTGGGATTCCGACTCGCCCAGAGCGAAGCTCCGTATTATCGACGACGCCTTCTTCGAACAGTCCAGCTTGGAGACGTGTGCCTCGGTTGCTTGAAGCGGAGACACTTTCAGTGGTTCCTGCATAGCGTACATTTCCTTCACCGGACTCGAGCCGTCCATGTTCAGCTCGAACGATCGTATCCTACACTGTACCAGGTTCATAGTCTCTGATTTACCAGGAGCAGTCCTGTCCTCTATCTTCGACTCTAACTCTTCTTTCGGTTTGATGTATTGGTAGGAAAACTCCTTGATAACCTTGCTCTCGTCGATGTTGGAGTCCCAGTCGTCCGGTTCCTTCTTAGTGGTCCACTGAACTGTCTTCTGCGTGGGCCAAGTCTCCGTCGAGGCATTCGAACTCTTTCCAGCTTGCTCGACACCGTAGACCGTCGACGTTTTTAAAATCCCAGACGGTTTCTTCTTGAACTTGTCCTCGTCGAAGGGACAGGGATCGCGATCTTGCTGATCAATTTTGGGAGTAGATCTCTGTTCAGGGGTGAGATACGGAGGAGAACGATCGGCTCTCGTCGCAGAGAGGAAGCTGACCTCTTCGTAGCCGGCGTCTGGAGGTATTCCGCCCAGATTCGGCAGAACGGAAGCAGTGGGGCTGCTGGTTTGTCGGTCGTTCGACACTCGAACAGTGTTCTGTGTATGGCGGCCGGTCGCAGGCATGGCATCTTGTGGCGTATTTCCCGGTGAACGATTGTCTCCGTGTTGGCGGGGGCTCCTTCCTGCATGCGAGGGTCTACGCGTGCGCTTCCTCCGGACATCTCCCAGCTCTGATTCGTCCGTTACAAAACAAACACACGAGGACGTTCGTTACTCACGGGTGTGATCAGTGAACAACCCAACCCTCTCGATACAGTTCAAAGCTAGAGTACCAAGCTGGGATCGATCTTGATCGTTACGAGAGTCAGAGACTAATATCGAGCAAACTAGATAGCCTCAGAAATAATTACACGGTTGAATCGAGGTATTAAAAAAGAAAAGAAAAGGAAAAAAACAGAAAGGATGACAGTAGATCAACCCGGTAACGATCAATGAACCGATCCAACGTGTTCTCAATCGCTCGACGATAAAGACACACATTACGAGCTGGAAGGCAAACGGCGGCCACAATTGAACGCCTCTACGACAGTGTTAGTGATACGTAATCCTCGACATGCCATGCTGACCCACATTTCACAAAGTACGGTTGTAGGTACGAGTGTTAAGTCGTAACGGACGGTTTCGCTAGTTAAATTCCAAAGGTGTTAATCGTTCCCATTCACCAGTCAGCCCAGACCCAGCAGCAGCAAAGAGAAGGAGCCCCACGGAGAGAATGTTTGCAGATTCCGCTTTTTTTTTTTTTTTTTTTTTTT